TTGTTCAGAGAGGTCCATACATAGTCCGACACGGGAAATTATCACAAGGAAAAAATGCATACCTACATATTCCACAACCATGACAATTATACTACTGTGTTGAGACCTGAAATCACAAAGCTCAGTCTTAGCATGGGCATACCACCTACATATGCCCTGTTCAAAGTAGACAAAACAGCCCAAAAACGTAAACTCCTACTCACATCGTCATCGAAGAGCTTGCGCACTTCACATAAATATTAGCTGCATGTTTTCATAACTTATGCTATTATAGCTCCCAACATACCGTTTAATATAGGGCGTCCTTGTATCGTCACATATCAAGTACAAATTCAAATTACTGTTCAATATAAAAGTTAAGTAGCAGCAGCAAACCCCGTCTAAACCTATCGTTGATTTAGTTATCAGCATTAAAATGACAATGCAAAATTAAAAATTAAGACAATTCTTTAGTACATGCATCCTTCTTTCAGTTATGCCTTGAACTTGTCAATTCAGTGTACTGGCATCATTCTTTCCATGGTAGTTCCATGTTGACATGATCTAATTACTGAGTATTGTATATCTTGCTATAGGTTGTTTATGTTGAGTAAAACATAGTACAATATAGCAGCGGGTCAGATTTAACCTGGCAGTCAACCATGACAAAATCAAGTTCAAGTAGTGCCCTTGTTTTACGGCTTCTGGATACCCAAATCCTGAGGAAATGCACAACGCTAGCTCGACATCCGGCTGTCCAGATTAAAGAAATCAACTTCAACAGCACAAGCGTCAAACTCGCCAAAGCGACACCAGGGGTTTCATGTTTTATAATTTTTATTTCAAAAGGTTCACAGTTCACGTTTTCTAATTTTCATTTCAAGGGGTTTACAATTGTTCAGAAGGAACAGCAACTACAACCAACCCAGAGAATTTCAAGTCAACAGTGGTTTCAGGCAGTACAATGACGATCTCATGATCGCTAGCCATTTTTCAGAGTCGTATATGTACACAATTTTGCACTCAGCAACTATAGGCAGGCGTAGCATGATAATCTGCACAAAATTTTGCACTCGCAGCTGTAGAATGGTAATTGCTCCAGAAGAATGACAGGCCGATGAACCCAAGATCACGCCTGATTGAACTCCACCATGTACACACTAGCCAGCCATCAAAGCCTCTTCATGTAGCAGACAATTTACTGGTCCATAATATGTCATCGAAACGTTATAAAAGGTAGGGCACCAGACAAACTAGAAATATATTGCTCATCCTTTTCCATAAAATCTTACCATGTTACACCTGCATCAATAAACAAAGTGCATGAGAACACCAAACAAAGTCCTATGTGAACACATTTCTAGCTCCAGATAAGACGTCAAGCTTTAGCTGCTTCTCAGATATCACATTAGAGATGACCAGAACCTCAATAAAACGATCAATATATAGTACCCCAAAAGTAGTTGATCACACATGTTAACTCAAAATGAACTGCTAAGCTTTCATGTTCCACGCCCTAGCTATATGCACCAATTAGTTCACCCAAAATTTACCGATACATCGACATGTGACTTCTATGCATAAACTTGAGAGCTTCTTTTCAATTTCCTTGAACTATTATTTTCCCAAGGACTGAAACATCATGTCATAAAATAGGACATTTTACGATTCTGTATGTCGTGTAGACACTGAATGCTCTTACTGAGAAACAGGGAAATGTCAACTTACACTTAAATCAGAATATACATGACGCGACCATACAGTTCGATTGAAATGAACATAGACAGGTTATACCTTCAAAGAGAGTGAACTTCTGCAAGACCTCAATGGAGACAACAAACTAATCACCACGTGGGAACTATTATGCCACATCAAGGCTCCGTAGCTTGTCACAGTAAGGCGTAGGGTAGTCATTGGCCCATTTACGCCGATGGAGTTCCACACGACAGTTTCTTCCTAGCATAGTCTTATAATCTCTGAAAACATGATCCTCAAGGTTATCTCTAGTAGGGCTTCCATGTGGAAACTGCTGATCAAAATCTTGTTTGCTGACAAAGTACTCCACCCCATGCTTATCAGTGACTTTTGAAATGGGAAAGTTGTATGTCTTGTGCAGGGCATATTGAGGCTGCTGCACTGGAATGAATGCAAACAAGACAAAAAGTAATATGACCGACAGGTGCATCAATACTGTTAAGTTCATGAACGACCCACCCTGTACAGGATGCTCCCTTCTCTGTTGCTCCTGCCTACCTGCTTCTCTTGTTCTGTAGAGATTGTGACCACGGAACGAATTATCACGAGTACCATAGAAGAAAGACCTGAATATCTCATCTGGATCTAAATCTTCTTCATAATTATAGAAGCCATTTCTTGTTTGCCTCCTTCGCCTAGCAGTTCTCTGCCTCATGACATTGGAATATTGGTCGTTAACCTCATGCCCCTCAAGTGTGCCTGTCTGATCATAGGTCTTCCGTGACTGATCATTGCCTAGGCACTTGAAAGCCTTGCTGAGCATCTTGAATGCATCTTCTGCCCCAGGAGCCTTGTTCTTGTCAGGATGAATTTTCAGTGACAGCCTCCTGTAGGCCTTCCTAATCTCCTCCAAGGAGCAAGTCCTCTCCACTCCAAGAATTGCATAGTAGTCTTTGTTCTTCCTGATATCACGGATAACTCTAACATTCTCCTCGGTGTAACCTTTATCAACATTAGAAGGACCAACAAATTCTTTTGGCGTTTTTAGGTTTTCATGGCCTCTTGTGGTCTTGTCCTGGCAAGCAGTACCATTCAGATTCAGGGGATCAAACTTTTTGGTTGAGGTCAACAAATCAACAATTGGAAGGCTGGGATCCAATCTTTGGGCAATTCGAATAAATTTGTCTGCCCGCTGTCTATCTCCAGATGCTAGCGCAGTCTGTGCAAGCTTGACAGACCTCAAGGCCTCATCTTTGTTCCCCTCCATGACTTAAGTCGGTCGTTTCCTGCTGGATTAAATATAGGCAGGGCGCTAAACTGATGCCCTGTGAAACAAGAGTAGATAAGATATCAGAAGAAATTAAAAAGTTTTTAGTGTGACTAACAAACTATGCATTCATAAGAAAATGAACTGTATGAAAATGGTATATAATTCAAGAAATAGATCAGCATCAGGAATTAGTTGATGTAAACAAATAGCCCAACTAAGAATTAGCAAACTCCTGGGAGCTCTCAAAATCAGAAAATCCTGTACAACATCATTATGAGCAGATTTAGGTAAGACCAAAACTAAACAGATTATCGCGTTCATCCATTACACAAACAAAGTACATACGTTGAGCGAATTTTCTTGATGCCATAAACAAATTTAGCATGGAAAAACCAATTGGTCAAACATCGCCATTCCAAAATAGCACTGACCTGCACAAACTGGAGGAAGGAACCAAACAAGCAACGGACACAGTACATAGCTCAACCTTGATCTCTCCATGGAGATCCCAAGGACGCAAACCACATCCTTTTTTCTGGTCTTTAGCGCAGTTCATGTGGAGTTGTGTTAGGGAAATGTTTTCCTGAGATCCATCTACTTTTAGCCCCCTTGATTTGTTGTTTGTATTTGTTCTGCTTTGGGCCTGTAGTAATCGTAAACTGAGAGCCTCAGCGACAGCGTGTGGCGTGAGTGTGTAGGGCTGTTATGCGTGCCCGGTGTGGCTTTATTAATCTAAAGCCAGGCTCCGCTTGAGCCTTCCATCGAAAATAGGCTCAACCTAAGAACTTCTAGGCATTCAACAACTCAAGTAATCAGCAAGCAATCCGGCCGAGAAGGTCCAAACCTGCCATACATGGCCGCTCTGCTGGCCAAAGCTCCCAAGCAAGACCCACTTAAATTCTGTCTGCTCTAGAATTTGGGCTAGAGGAACCGGCAGATACTATTGAACTACACAGAATCCTATGCCTGATCGATCCAAATTAGCCGCCGAGTAGAAAAAGCAAGATCCTGGCTAAACAAGACCCACGCGTACACGAATCAGTCGACCCTACCTACCGCCCCGATTCTCGCAAACCCTAGGCCGCACAGCATCGCAATCAGGAGGAGCAGAAGAGTCCAAGTTGCCGCGAGTACCCGTGCCCGCGGCTACAGGATCAAGGCGAAACTAACAGAGTTGGGATTCTGGATTAATCTGAGAAGCGATCGACCGGAAGTTCTTACCGGGAGGAGACAGGAGACAAGCCGGCGCGGCGAGGAGACCCGCGCCACCGCCACCGTCCGACGGGGGGAGACCAGGAGAGGAAGAAGAGGATGGGCGGAGGAGGCACTTTTCCGCGGAGCCCCTCGGGTTTTACCCACTCTCACGATCCCCACCACCCAGCGGACGGCTTTCTGAGACTGGGGCTGGTTGGCGGTGGCTGGGGCCCGCCCAAAGCCCAGAAGTTTAATCCACGGCTGGTCTATGCGGCACGGATCGTAAAGCACGCGACCCCCCTCACTGCCTCACTCCACCTTTCATATCGGCCGCCGCTTTTCCCCCCGGCCCCGAAGCTTCTCGATCCCTCCCCCCGCTTCCGTTTCCGTTTCGTCCCCGCCGTCGCCCCCTCGCCGCGGCGGCGGAGTCGCCCGCACTCGCTGCGCGCAGGTCAGTCGAACCCTAGCTCTCCCGCGCGCATAAGCTCCCGCTCCTCCCTCCTGATCGCTGCTGCTCTTGCGTGTTCATTTTCTTCCTCTCTCCGCGCGGTAACGGCGTCCTGTTTTTTTTCGGGTTCAGCGATAGAGTTGTCGTCTTCGCTGCAGTCGTGGTCTTAGTGGTTTCCGAGAGGTGAGACGCAGTGCTTGTTCGTTCGGTTGTTTACTTAGTTCTTTTTTCCCCTTGAGCAACTGGGTCGATTTATTTTTCCTTGACGAAATGGGTCGGAAATTTCTCTTGATTGATTCCCGAACTTGGGTCGCCACTTCTGCTATTTGATTCCCGCCGAGAACTTTGCTTAGGTTTGTGCGAGCTAGCAGCTAGTTGCTGATCTGTTTTTTTTTTTCCTTTCTTGCAGGAACGATGAGCCGACGTAGTAACGGCCGCACCATCTACGTGGGCAACCTCCCCGAGGACATCCGCGAGAGAGAGATTGAGGATCTCTTCTACAAGGTTAGGTTCTAAATAGTTTGGGTTCCTTCACCTGTACCTTGCCTTGGTGCTTCTATTCTGTTAAGAAATTGCCAGTTCAGTTGTAAGGTGGTCGGCATTATGTTCTGATATCAGCTTAAACTGCATACTTTGCATTAGCAGTTACACATGGAGGTTATTCATTAAAAAAATGAACCGATGTACTCCCTTCGTCCCATAATGTAAGACGTTTTTTCGTAAGACACATGTACGTATTTTCATTTTTCTTGTAGCATGGACTATTAAGAGTGTTTGCGCTTGTGTGCACTGGACAAGATAGATTGATATTGTAACGCCAGTCGAGACGTACTCTCAGTCTCTCACTGCGTCATCACCGTGACGTAATAAAAAAACTGGTGTTCAGTGTGAATTCCACAATGTCAAATTTTCAGTTCTATTCTCCACCAAAAATAATCAGTTTTATTTCACCTTAACCTAAATGGCACCTCTTGAGTTTATCATCCTATGTGGGTATTGCAAGAGGATTTGCAGAAGACAAGCCAATTTGGTTCACAATATGATACTCCCTCCATCCGGAAATACTTGTCATCAAAATGGATAGAAAGAGATGTATCTAGAACTAAAATACGTCTAAATACATCCCATTTTATTCATTTTGATGACAAGTATTTCCGGACGGAGGGAGTATTATTTTTTTTCTGTTTAGGGAAGCATTCATTTAATCTTCTATTACTTTGCTTCTGCAGTATGGTCCTATTGTCGATATCGATCTGAAAATTCCTCCAAGGCCTCCTGTTTATGCTTTTGTCGAGGTAATGTGCTGTGGTCATTGTTTTGTTAGAATATTTACTCTTGCTCACTTTGTATTCGTATTTTATAGTATAAATTATTTCATGGTTTATGCTTTCGTCTTTTGACCTTTGGGACACGTTGATTTTGCTCTCTGGCTTATAGAATACTAAAACAAGATGATTCCATCCCATCCCTAGAAGCCACTTAAAGCATAACCCCTTATAAGTGATTTTGACAACCCAAATGTTCTTTGTTCTGTACTCTGTAAAACTGTTACAGCAAAATCATGTTGTCCTATAAGACTCAAAATCTGGTAGTATAGTTAAATGGTTATACCTCCTTTTAAGAGGATACCCTGAAACCCTCATTGGCACATTGTGCAAAACAGCATGCTTTCATACAGAATCTAACCAATAGAATGTACTCCCTCCGATCCATATTACTTGTCTTAGATTTGTCTAGATACGGATGCAACATCCGTATCTAGACAAATCTAAGACAAGTAATATGGATCGGAGGGCGTATCAGTTTTGCTGAATGTTCTATTAAAAAATACTTTTCAAAATCATTCCAAACTAAAATTCTTTCTGGCTAGCACCTGTGACTATGAGTCTAACACCAAAGTGGAGCTTTTTGCAGTTCGAAGACCCACGTGATGCTGATGATGCAATTTATGGCCGTGATGGATATGACTTTGATGGCCACGAATTGCGGGTTAGTGGACCTTGTATAAATACTCTTTTTGTTTTCTGAGAGAATAACGTTTTGCCTCGAAAAGAAAAAACATCTTTGATCTTTCTTATGAAGTTTACCTTTTATCCACTATCCAGGTGGAGTTAGCTCATGGGGGGAAAGGCCCTTATTTTATTCGACCAAGCAGCTATAGTAGTTCTGGACGTCATGGTGCAGTTAGGCGTTCTGATTACCGCGGTTTGTGTTTTTAACTTTATAAGCCTCACAAATTTGATGGTGAAATCCCCTATTCTTATTATCTCTATTTATGGGTCGCAGTTATTGTTACCGGATTACCTTCTTCAGCATCATGGCAAGATCTCAAGGTTTGGATGTGAATGTAAGTTCTTGAAGTTCATGCTTCAGGATTCTTAAATTTACTTTTATTTTTCAGGATCATATGCGGCGAGCTGGTGATGTCTGTTTCTCTGATGTTTATCCTGAGGCTGGAGGTTAGTAATGATCACTTTTCAGTTCGTATTTTGTTCTTTAATGAGTGTTGGTGGGGCTAGTTGTTTAGATATCTGACCTTCCTAGTTCATTCAAACTGTATTATCTTTTAGAAGCCTCATTACTTTTTCCGCGTTACAGCAATTACTGGAATAGTTGAGTATACCAACTACGAAGACATGAAACATGCGGTAAGATATGTTAAACACTTCTCTACGCTCATACATGTGCATACATGTCGATGAACATATATGCTTACTAGTTATTTTTATCTTGTAGATAAGAAAGCTTGATGATTCAGAGTTCCGTAATGCATTTTCACGAGCATATATCAGGGTATGGCTGTTTTTTGCCCTCCCCTTCTCTTAACCATACTGGAATCATATATCTACATGTTCGTCCCACATGCCCACCTCACTGAATTAAAGATTTCCATGCTCTAATCTACTTATGCTGCTAATAGGTGAGGGAGTACAATGCTAGGCGTAGCCGCTCTTACTCGAGAGGTAGAAGCCGAAGCTGCTCTTACTCAAGAAGCAGAAGTCACAGTTATAGCAGGAGCAAGAGTCCAAGGTATAGTTTAGTTTGTTCATACTTAAATCAGTCCATCTTGACAACCTGTTAAAGCAAGGTATTGAAGTCCATCTTTGTTCATACTCAAAGCAATGTCTATCATCTTAACATGTGTATACTTAACTGATACAGGTCTAGATCTGCTTCTCGGTCTCCTTCACCTGTTAAAGCAAGGTATTGAAGTTGACAACACTAGGTATCTGCATCCATGGTATTAGAAAACTACACGCTTTTGCAGAAATGGCGCTGTCATGTTCTTACTGTCGTTTATTCAGTATTTTAGATGATACGGTGAACTTATGTGGCCCCAGATAAGGAACTTCAAGATAAAGGGCTGTTAACAAGAAATAAAAATGACCTGCAAAATAAGAACAAGAAATAGAAGTGGCCTGTGATATTGAACTTCTGGAATCCCCTTCTGGTTTGCTTTGTGGCTTCTGTTTCCTGATGCATTATTTTGGGCATGGCCTTTTGAGTTTCCCCTGTCTGACTATTGAACATGTGTGCATAACCGGATAGCTGTCCATCTTTGAAGATTTTCCCTTCTCCTTACTAGATCTGGACCATGCGACTGTCTGGGGATTGCATTGGTAGGATATTGGCACGTTCAGAATCAAAGGATGGTTTTGGGCGTTGGATAGTTCTGCTGGATTGGGATGTACTGTATAGCAAGTGGAGTACAACCAGCGATAGGAGGGCTGGCACTAAACATAATGGAGTGGATTTTGTGGTATATTTGTATTACTGTTGACTTGAGCACTTCTATTCTCAAATATGCACTCTGCCCTGGTCTCATATATAAACAATGGCTTTAATGCTAGATTTTGTTTTCGGAGTACACATCTTTGCGAAAGAGAAAAAAAGAGGAGGTTTTACCTGTTGGATCAAAACCATCAATCATAGTTTCATTTTCATTCAAACACCTGTAGTTTTTACTCCTTGAAAAATAAAGGCTTGTAATTTTCAAATTTATTTTGTGGTGCAAAAGGCATGAGCGGCGGAGCATGGGTGAGAATCTGCCCAAATGCACACCCGCATATTTTATTGCTGCTGTGTGCATAGGTTAGTTGTAGACATATTGTGATCAAACCATACAAGTGCAAATGCTAGGTGACAATTTGTTGGTTTTTGGAATATTTTGTAGGTCATCATCAAGATCCCTATCACCTGCCGCTGTAAGTCTTTGGAGGGTATACATTCTTTTATCATGTAATTCCTTCCATATCATGATTCAAGTTTTTTTGCAGCCTGCCCATGACAAGTCTGCAAGCAGGAGCCCCGTCAGGAGCAGAAGTTTACCCCGTTCTCAGTCTCCTGTATGCCGCCAACTCCATATCTTGTCGCTCATAAAAATTTGTAAGCTTTATAGAACTGTATTTATTCGATTCTTTATTCCTTGCAGGTGAAATCTGAGTGAAGCCAGATGCACTCGAAGTCAGGGAAAAAAACATATCAGGATTTGTTGGATTAGGACAATATAATATGGATTGTGGGTGCTCTGTCCCAAGAAGTACCATTGCTGTTCCTTGGAAGGAAAAACGTCAACTTTGTGGTTTGAGATCAATGTAGGAGTCTGGTGTTGTTTTACTTCTGCACTCAGTTGCGAGAACGTAAAAGCGTGAACTCATGGCTTTAACTTTAGTATGCTATAGTTTCGCGTCAAAAAACTTCATGCCACAGCAGAGTTTATATTTGGTGTTTTGTGATCTACTTCAACTTACATCAGTAATGTAGGGGTGCAAATGAGTACCCTTTAGGGTATTCTCTGGCCCTCTTTAGTTCAACCAAACGAACTAATTTTTCAGGAGTATCCGTGGATACCTGAGAGCCACAAATTTGCATCCCAACAGTAACGACCTCGAGGAGGTCTTGCAGCGGCCATTCGACCCGATGTGACCATAGTTGCCATGTTTCCGGTACGGTGGGAACGAGGGACTCAACGAGGGTATACATCTCTCGAACGATTTTTTTATAGCGGGACGTGATCCAATCCGTTTGGGTACGATGAACCCGGTACGGTACCATGGATCGAGGAACGTAGTTCTTGAAGAACGACGACTCCCTGACGGTCAGCATTCCTTGTTGTTAATGGATTCCTTACAATTAATGGACTGAAGGAAGAACGAGGAGTCCTTGAGAAAAGAAACGACAGCGTGAGTAAATTAGGCCTCGCGTTTTGGCTGTTGGATCTTCGAACCTGAATCGAGGAGCAGGCTGCGGGGACGCCGAATCTTCATCGAATCGTATCGAATCTGACCTTGTTCTCGAATCCGATTTCGGGTCAATGAATCGGGATCGAGGGACGACCTACCGTTCCGGTTTCCGGCTACTATGGATGTGACGCTATTTGCGGTGTTGAGAAATGGTGCGAACTAGCCGCCTCGGTGCGTCCCTCCTGTGGATGGTTGATTGCGCGATCATTTGTGTGTGCTGTTGTGGCCTTTATGGGCACAAGACTTGTTGCCTGGGTGTTGCTATTTGTTGCATGATCTATGTTCCCCTTTGGTGCTCCGCTAGTGCGTGCCCCCCTTTTGCCTGCTTCCTGTGAAGAGAAAAGAGACGAATGTATGTTCTTCATTCAAGTACTCCCTCCGGTCCTTTTTATTCTGCACATTGGATTTGCTGAAAGTCAAACTTAACTAAGTTTGAGCAAATTTATATTAAAAATTATTAGCATCTATAATATCTAATAAATATAATATGAAAATATATTCCGAGATGAATCTAATGATATTGGTGTTGTTATGTAAATGTCAGTAATTTTTTATATAAACTTGGTCAAAGTTGGATGAGATTGACTTCAGACAAACCTAATATGCAGAGTAAAAAGGACCGGAGGGAGTATATGTCTAGCTAGGTGGCTGGGGGAGCAGGGTTGGACAGTTAGCCCATGTATGATTGTACGATTTTGGCAGTGATATGGCAGACTTGTCTCTGCCTTGGCTAGAGAGAAAGATTGAAAGGGAGAGTGTACGACAAACTGGACCGAGCGAAAATGGAAATTCGTTGTGAAAATATACAAGGGGGGAAACGCAGGAGTTAGGTGTCATGTCTAGTGGAATCCTATCGGAATGTAAACATAAGAATTATACACAGTAAATGTTTGGCTGCTCCAGAAAAAAATATGGGAAACTATCTCTTGAAAAGAGAAAAGAGGAGAGCTGAAAAGACAAGTTGCGTTAGACTTCTCAAAGGAAGTGAAAAACACGAGGTCTTGAACAAAGTTTAGAATAGAATCTTCCAAAGAGTGGAGGAAATGGAGTAGTTCTCCAAGCCAATCATACAATCCAAACGACGCCGTAGGAAAATCTTCTATCGGATTTGATTCCTACGAAATTCCTATGAAAATCTTTCTAAACAGGGCCTAAAATAGAGTGCATCTTATTCTCGCTACCAAATAGGAGTTCAAAGGGATTGTTTATATATACTCGGGCATTGGCTCACAGAGCCGGTGGTCATAAAAAACACTAATATGTACTCTATTTTGGCAAAGAGGAAGTTTAATTGCAATAATGTTGGCTAAATATTGCACTCCCTCCGTTTCATATTAAGTGTCGCTTGAAATGGATGGAGTAGTAATGTTGGCAAACGCAAATACGTTGTTGGGTTTGTTGTGCTTTTTGCGAAGTTAAAGGGGATTTTGTATTCGGTAAACATTCGTGTTCGCATTCATTTGTCCATATTCCCAATTTATTCATTTCTGGTACTTACCTACTTCTATATTCATTTTCAAGATCTATGTATTCTTTACACTTCCGCTGATAAATAATAAGGAGACAAATGTAATAGCAGCAATTGGGTGTCCTGTTTGGTCCTGTCAAAAGAAGATATACTGCCAACTGTTTGGTCCTATCAATAGAAGATGGCAACGTCAGATGGGAGTCCACTATAGTCGTTGATGTGGTTCTTGTGCCCGGTTGCTGTCGACAGCCATATGGACCGGTGTGAAGCTAGATGAGGAGCATTGCTTCTCTTCGTGGACAAGCTCTTCATGTGATGTGTGCTCTTCCGTGTACTTCCAATTGCCATTAACACTCAACCACTTTTTCATGCTCTACCTTGTACTTTTTGGGGAAGAAATCATGTTATGTCTTATCTAATTATTGGAACAAAAAACTACTCCCTCCGTTCCATAATCATAGTGTAGTGTTAAAAACGCTCTTATATTGTAGGACAGAGAGAGTAATATTCAAGGCTAGTAAGGCTCTCTGATTCACGGGATTCATCAGAATACATGAATATAGTAAAACCATATAAATTAGCCTAAAGGTATTTGATACACGGCATAGAAACATCGAGTTGAGTTGTAACAAGAATTTCAAGTGAATGTAAATTCTTCCTGTGAAAAAGGAGACAGAGGGATAGGGTTCCTCCGTCCGTTCTCAGAGGTGAGAGCCTAGACCTCCGCCGCCACCCTCTTCTTCATAATCCTCCAGTAAGGATATACTGTGGCGCTCGGGTTAGTAGCGCGCCAGATCTTTCTGATTGAACTAAGAGCGCAGGGAAGAAATACAATATAACCTGTTATATAACACCCCTCCACTCCCACGTCGCCCGCGTCTGGCGACACGGGGGGAAACCCTCGCCGCCGGGAGCTCCATTCGACACCGCCACGCCTGCATCACCGCCGCCGGAGGGCCGACCAGCGAAGCCGCACCGCGCCTAGGGATGGCGGCGGCGGGGCGATTTTGTTCCTGCTCCTCCCGTCCCTCCATCGGGTCCGCCCCTCCTTCTGTAGGGGAACGTAGTAATTTCAAAAACATTCATACGCACACGCAAGATCATGGTGATGTATAGCAACGAGAAGGGAGAGTGTTGTCCATGTACCCTCGTAGACCGAAAGCGGAAGCGGAAGCACAACGCGGTTGATGTAGTCGTACGTCTTCATGATCCGACCGATCAAGTACCGAACGTACGACACCTCCGAGTTCAGCACACGTTCAACTCGATGACATCCCACGAACTCCGATCCAGCAGAGCTTTGCGGGAGAGTTTCGTCAGCATAACGGCGTGATGATGGTGTCGATGATGCTACCGACGCAGGGCTTCTCCTAAGCACCGCTACGATATTACCGAGGTGGAATATGATGGAGGGGGGCACCGCACACGACTAAGAGATCAAGAGATCAATTGTTGTGTCTAGAGGTGCCCCCTGCCCCCGTATATAAAGGAGCAAGGGGGGAGGCGGCCGGCCAAGGAGGAGGGCGCGCCAAGGGGGAAGTCCTACTCCCACCGGGAGTAGGACTCCTCCTTTCCTTGTTGGAGTAGGAG